TTTTCCAAAATACCCCAGAAACAATAGTCCAAGAGATTGGTATCCGTAGATTTTTGTAGTCATTGTGAGCTTGAAATGAAGAGGGAAACCTCATTTCGTAACCATTCTTGAGTAGCGCGTGCTGAGTCCTGTTGGAATGTCCAAGGTCTGAGGCCAAAATTTTTGCGTGCCCAAGGCTTTTATACACACTGCAGAATATTTTCGTGATAATATTCGGCATTTGTTCTGATGTCACGGTCGATTAATACGAGTGGAGAGCGACCATCGGCTGTTATGGCGGCCCACACCTTCACCATGGCCTGCGCTTGAGTTCTGGTGGCCAACCGAAGGTGCAAATTTTCAGCTGACCTCTTTGTCAAGTAAGCGCCATCATTTTGTTTGTTTACAAACTGCTGGACAACGAATGTTTTCTCATCGGAGACGGAGAAAACCAAATACGGAAATTCACCACTTTCGGCCAAGCGAAGCAACTATTTAGCTCTTTTAAGTCTATTTTCTTTCTGTTGCGGTGTAAATTCTTGCACTTTTTGGAATTTTAATGACTTTACCCCGAGCTCAGTTTTCAATATTTGCCGAATGGAATATTGCGATATGTTCAGCTCTCGAGCCATTTGTCGGCCACTACGACGCGGGTTTCGCCATTTAAATGCTGGAGTGCTCTAACGATAGGCACTTGTGGTGAAATTTGGTGTTAAGCTTACGATCTGGTCAATCAAAACTTCAAATATCATGTGTCGACTTTCAATTTAGCTAAGCATCTGGCTCCATCTATTACATCAAATTTTTGCAATGAATTTAAAATTGTGTCTTGAATATTAAAGTTGAAGAAAAATATTTCTGACATTTTGAAGCTTTTGAGCAATTAGCCACCCGGTTGAGTTGCTTTAAATCAGCTTCAATCCTACTATCCTTTTTGTCCATTCCTCTTGGAAATAATTATGAACATTAAACTAATTTCTCCATTTCTTCTCTTTGCAGTGAAAATTTTACGATGAGCGATAGCCAACAGGACGAACCGTCCGACATTGATGCAACGGAAACAGAAAGCCAGGAACAAAGTGCTAGCACAAAAGATAACACAATAAGTGGCAATACAAAGGTCGAAAGTGTAGATAGTGAAAGTGAAAACGTTAATTTGGAAAATGAAAAGTCAATTTCGTCGAAAGTGGATAATCGTGAAAGTGTAACGGAAACGGGAGATGTGAAAGACGCCGGACATGAATCAACATCGAAAGAAAACGTTTGTGATAACAAAGAAGAATTAAACGAATCGTACAGGTCTGAAAATAGTAAAATATTAGAAGTAGGAGAAACTACCAACAGGGAAGTGGTATCAGAAAATACTCAGGATAGTTCCAATGAAAAATCACATGCAATAACCGGTTGTAATGAGGTCTCAGAGGCAGATGATAGTAAAGAAGAAGCCTCACACTCACAATCAGGATCGACAAGAATTTCTAAAGAAAATGAAAATAATGAAAAGAAATCATCCGAAGAAATTTCAATTCCAAAAAGTTCCCTTGAAGAGGAAAATAAATCTTCTAAAACTGCATGTGATTCCACAAAAAGTTCTTCGGAGAGTAAACCTGCCGAAACCACAGATGACTCTTCAGATAAACCCTCAAAAGATGATCATGCTGAGCATGTGACCTACACTGAAGATGGTAATGCCATATATACCGATCCTGCAACAAAATACCAATACAAATGGTGTACAAAAGCCAACAATTGGGTGCTCTTGGAAACACAAACTACCTCATCCACAGCTAGCACAAATCCCTATGAAAATGAGCACTACAAATGGTGTCAAGAAACCCAAAAATGGATACCAAAACAAACACAAGTAACCGAAACGGAACACTACAAATGGGATAGTGAAAAACAGCAATGGATAGCCAAAACCCAGACCCAAACCCAAAGTAAAGATCAAAGTGAGACAACAAAGGAAATTGTCTATGACATTGATGAGAATGGTCAACGTATTTATACGGATAGTGATGGCACCGTTTACTTTTGGGATGTGGACAAAAATGCTTGGTTCCCAAAAATCGATGAGGATTTTATGGCACGCTATCAAATGAGTTATGGTTTCATTGATAATACCACCCAGGCAGAAAATGAAAAGAAAGAACAGGAAATAAAGGCTGCTGAACTCAAGGAAAAAGAATTACAGCAAATGACAGAGGAAGCAAAGAAAAGTAATGAGGAGGCCGCCAAGGGTACAACAAAACGCAAAGCACAAGAGCCACCAAGTAAGTTAGCAGCCTTGTTAATGAATTTAGTGTTTTTCTAATTTGTTTGTTTTTTTGCTGCCCTTTTTCAGAATGGTTTGAAATTGATCCTGAACACAACACCAAAGTTTATGTTTCAAATTTACCCTTGGACATAACCCTGGATGAATTTGCCGAGGTTATGGGCAAATGTGGCATGATTATGCGTGATCCCCAGTCAAGTAAATTGAAATTGAAACTTTATTCTGAAGCTGATGGCCAGCTGAAGGGTGATGGCTTGTGTGATTACATTAAGGTAGGTGAAATATTTACCACCATTAATTGCATCAAAATATGATGCAATTTTTTATTACCTTTAAACGCATATTAGACTAGGACCTTCAAAATGATTTGAACATTTATTATTAGTAATAACATAAAAAAGGAAATATGTAAGAAATTATATGGATAGCGCCATAATCAATCAAAAACTGTAGAACCGTTTTCCTTCTAAACCCCATTAAGCCCAAAATCATCAAATCATATCATTAGGATGATATAAAATACTAATTTATTAGAATTTCGGTTTAAAAATTTGATCGAAATCATTTAAAGACATAAACGTGTGGGGTTTTACCAATGGTGCTTTTTATGCAATAAAAAAATTGATGAAAAATGAAGCCAACCACACGATATCGTGTAGCCCCCATACAAAGGTAGCCACCAATATTCTGTATTTTGATGATTTTAGCCAATTTTTTCAATGAAATTGTCTGAAAATAAATACAAGTACTTTTCCTCCTGGAAGAGAATTGTCTATATAGGCACACGATATCGTATAGCCCCCAAATAACTGTACCTTCCGATATTCGGTATTTTGATTTTAATCACTATGGAATCGTCTGAAATTCTACATAAAGAGTTCTTCGTGACCACTTTACCACCTGAAAAAAAATTGTCTATTTGGTGTACGATATGATATAGCCAGATCCAGTCGGAAGAGGGTATTCAAAGTTCGGTCCGGCTCACAGTTTTTTACTTTACATTTTGGAGTGTGTGCAGCCTATTTTAACCAATGTCTTCACGAATATTGCCCTCATTTTTCTCTGGCTTATCGGCATAACACTTATCTTTGACGGCACTTCATAAATAATAGTCCACCGGTATCAAATCGCAGATCTGATGTGTCCAACCTGCATCAACTCTGCGATCTTTAAAAACAGTGCGCAAAATATCGAACGTATCTTCGAAGGCGTGGCACGTAGCGCTGTCATGTTCAAACCAAATGATGCCAAGGGCGTACTCTTCAATTTTTGTGAACAAAAATTCATTCTACATGGCCCGCTATCGTAATGGCACTACTACTGCTTTCTCATTTTTGAAGAAAAATTACACGATTGTTTACCAACTCGTTTTGGGTACTTCGGGGCTTCAATGAATACATGCGGGTTTTTTGTACCCTAAACACTTCTCTTCGTCCAAAATCCGTACACAATTTTCTCACACATCCTGTGACATTACCATGATTTTCAAAGTAATATCGCAATATTACCCAACATCTTAAAACCCCCATAAATGCCAATAAAATTTTGTGAGCATTCTAGTATATGGCATTTACTCCTCTATATGCCCATTCAGATTATTCTTTTTATCCCAAATTGACCTCCCCTCATTGAGAATAATAAAAAACACACATTTTCGTTTTTTATTTGTATCGCTTTTTATTTATTACTTATTAGATTATTTTTTTTTTGTTGTTTAAATTAGATTTTTTGACTATTTCGATTTTATACGTTCTATGTAAAGATGTATTATTTATTATATTCAGGGTTAGTTTAGATTTAGTTGTTTATTTTTTTAAAAAAAAACTTTTATTTAAAATTAAAAAATATATTCATATCAAAGAATTAACATTTTAATACATAAATTGCTGTGTAGAAAAAGGAAAACTATATTTATATATCGAAGGCCAAACAATTTAAAATTAACATTAAATAAAAATTAAAAAAAAAAAATAATAATAATAATAATTGAAAACATAATAACTTACATTTTGAGGTAATTAAAAAATTGTGTTACAAATAGTTTTTATTTTTTTGTTTTTATAAAAAATAAAACATTTTTTTTTTTTCTTATTTGTTTAAAGCTTAAATTTAACAGTAACTTTGCGGTATTTACTTGCATTTCTTCAATTTTTCTCTTTTCTCTTTTAATGAAAACAATGGGAAATTAATCAAAGAAAATTAATTCAAAATATATTTTTTAAAATACATTTTTATTTTAGATTGTTTAACAATTATTTTGCTTTGCTTTTGTTTTGTAATCATTAAAAAATTGGGTTTTTTGTGCAGTTTTGTGTTTTTTTTTGTTTTTCTTTCTTTCTTCTTATCTTACTAAAAGTTATATTAAATTGTTATTTGCTTTTAAGATTTTCTTCACATATGGCTACTGTATAGTTTTTTTGAAGAGCAGTGCTTTTTTTAGAAAAACCAAAAATCTTAAAATTATATATTTGTTTTAAAATATTATATATTCGTTTTGTTGTATGAGTGAATGATACTGTCCTTTGCTTCTTTCTATTTTGGTAATTTACACCGAGCTACATAGCAAAATATCAAATGTGAGGTTATGTAAATGTTTCACATTAAATGTTTCGACCTCACTGAAATGAGACGGTAGCCCAGTGTTTGTAAGGAATATATTTAGGATAGGATGCCATCATAATCTTGCTTAATTTTTTTGCCAGAAAAATGCTCGCCTCTGTGGAATCAATTTGTACGGTCTCCTTCCATGACGGCCAGTCCCACCCAAATCATAGTCCTGATTATCGTTGTAGGTTTTTGTTTAGTCGGTTTATAATTATTTTGTTTTTTTTTTCTTTTTCTTAATGGAAAGTGGAAAGTAATCGTGTCACCTGTCGATGTGGGGGGATAAAAGTACATTTTAAAAATCTATAATTTTTTTTTAAAAAAAGTTCGGTGCATTACATTTTATTTTAAGGATATGTATATACAGTTCTTCTTGATGTGTTCTTCTTTTGAAAAGAAAAAATCATTTTTTTCTTTCAAAATATTTTCTCACATAAGTATTTTGGCATTTGACTTTTCTTTTTTTTTTTGATTGTGTGTTTTAAAACCGGGGTTTTAAAATTTAATACTATAGTGCACTTAAATCTCTGTTAGAATGGGTATATGGGGGTTGTGTGGAAGCTGTGGGTTCAGGGAGTTGTACTTGACAAAACGAAAAATAAGACAACAAAAAACTGAAAACAACTCGTTTTTAATTTTTTTTGTGAGTATATTTTTTAATGGAAAAAATTTGACGAATTGTTAGAAACGAAAAAAAGAATGTATTACGACTTTGTGTTTTTTTCAAACTCTCTTTAATGCTTACAACAAAAGAGAGTAAACGCGTGTTCCCTTTTTCCTCTATTAACACAAATATACAACATCATCTCATTTGGGTTGGCTAATCGTTAGGGGGTCGAAATAGAGAGAACTTCAACGAGAGTGTGAGAATCGGAAAGAGAGAGAGACGATGAAAATCTAGAAAAATGTTAGCTTATTCATAAGTTCGTTTAGTTTTCGGTTGGTAGGTGGTTTGGCTGGAGGGATCACCAATTTAAGCCGAACCATTTGCTAATGCCTCTTGTCGCGCCTTCTCTTCTCTCATCTTTTGCAATTTACGCTGTTTTCGCTTCTCCATGAATTCCTTGAGCAATTCCGGCGATAACGAGGCCAAACGATTTCTGAAATTATTACTAACTTCGTTTTTGGTTTGTTCTTTGCGCGACTCCTCTATGCGCTTGGCTTGTTCGATTTTGGCCAAACGATCACGTTCCTCTTGTTCTTCGCGACGCTTAAGTTCCTCCTCTTTGGCGCGGGCCTCTTCTTCGGCCCGTTTAGCTTCCATTTCAATTTCAAGCTTGCGCTGTCTCTCCGCCTCCTCCAGTTCGTATTTGATGCGTGCCTCCTCTTCGGCAATGCGTTTCTCTTCCTCTTCAAGACGTTTTATTTCCTCCTCACGTTTGCGTTGAATTTCCGCTCGTTTTCTTTGTTCTTCGCGCAAGCGGGCCAATTCCTGTTCTTCGACACGTCTCTCTTCTTCCAAGCGCTGTAATTTCAAACGTTCCTCCTCTTCGTCCAATCGCCTACGTTCTTCTTCCTGTTTGCGTTTTTGTTCTTCTTCGATTTGACGGCGGTTTGCCTCATCCTGGAGACGTCTGCGTTCTTGTTCTTCAGCCAATTGGCGGGCTCTTTCATCTTCGGCTTGCTTGAGGCGTTCTTCGTATTCCTTGCGTTTGGCTTCTTCTAAACGTTTGCGTTCCTCCTCTTGTCTTCGGGCCTCTTCCATTTTCTTTTCGGCTTCCTGTTTGCGTGCCTCTTCAGCCTTGGCTCTCTCTTGTTCCTCTAATTCACGCATTTTTTCCAAATAAGCCTGGCGTCTTCTCTCCTCAGCTTCGTCTTCCAAACGTTTTCTTTCTTCCTCCTCGCGTTGCTTCTTCAACGACTCGATTTCTTGCAATTTGCTCTTCTGTTGGGTTTCCTCCAGTTGTCGTTCACGTTGCTGCCTCTGTTGCTCGGCCTCGTTTTCCTTTTGGCGGATTTGATCCAATTCCCTTTGCTGTTGCTGATTTTGTTGTTGCAATTGTTTCTGTCTCATTTTCTCTTCGTGAATGCGGCGTTTTTCCTGTTCCCTTTGTTCGCGCATTTTTCTCAAGGTTTCAGCCTTTTCACGGCGTTTCTTTTCTTGCCTTTCCTTTTTGCGTTGCAAACGTCTCAATTCCTTTTCACGCTGGCGCTGCAGTTCGCGATCCAATTTTGTGCGTACATTCGAGTTCTTTCTCCTTTGCACGTTGGCCGGTGTGGGAGTGACGGCTTCATGGGGTCCTAGGATTTCATTGTCACGGTTGTTGGGTAGTGAGGTTGCAGTGTAGGGATATGGAGTGGTGGTGGTTGTGGTGGTGCGAACGCGGGGATGTCTTGGGGTATGAGGAGATTGATAGGTGACATCGTTTTCACCGGGCACCGCAGTGGGGCGTTGAGGGCGTGGACGACGGCGACGATTGTGAGTACCGGGACGGGTGGGGACAACCATTTCTTCGTTACTGCCATCGGCAATGACACGGCGATTGTACCTGGAAAAGAGAGAGAGAGATAGAGATAAACTTCAAATCAAAACCGAAATGAAAGAGAAAAGCTAAATAAATGGTAGCCGAGAACATATGAAGCTCAAATGCGTTAGGAATACCTTCTATACTTCCTTTAAATTCAATTATTGAAAAAGGGGAAAGTATTATTTTTTTCGCTATTTCATGAAAATTTAACATCTGCATGTGCTCATCTTTCTCATCCTGCTTGCATTTTAGTTTAAAATAAGGCCCAATTTTTTTGTTAACTAATTTATAGAATACCAATTCTTTTAAAGGTGGAATCTGTGCATTTGGCTCTAAAAATACTCGATGAATATAATTTAAGGGGTAATAAAATCCGTGTTCAGCGGGCCCAATTTCAAATGAGAGGTGAATACAATCCAGCGCTTAAACCGAAACGGAAAAAGAAAGACAAAGAGAAATTGGCCAAAATCAAAGAAAAGTAAGTCTCTTTGGATAATTTTGAAATTGTACCAATAATTTGCCATTTTTGTTCTTTTACAGACTTTTCGATTGGCGACCGGAGAAGATGCGCGGTGAACGTTTTAAGCACGAGAAAAGTGTTATCATCAAGAATCTTTTCCATCCGGATCTCTTTGAGAAGGAAGTTCAACTTATATTGGACTATCAAAACGATTTGAGAGAGGAGTGTAGTAAATGTGGCACAGTACGCAAGGTTATAATCTATGATGTAAGTTTTGAAATTAAATACTTAATGTAAGAGCAAGTAAAATCGTTTTTTATTCTTTAGCGCCATTCGGAAGGTGTTGCACAAATTAATATGTCCACACCCGAGGAAGCTGATTTGGTGATACAAATGATGCATGGCCGATTTTTTGGTAAACGCCAACTGACAGCCGAACATTGGGATGGTAAAACTAAATATAAGTAAGTTCAATAAACACATTTCTTTTTCTTCTATTTTTAAATACAAACAATTTTCGTTTTTTGTAGAATTGAAGAAACCGAAGAAGAAATTCAAAAGCGACTTAATAAATGGGACAATTTTTTGGAAACGGATGAAACAAAAATAGACATTGAGGAGAGTTCTAAAATTTCGGATATACCAGAAGAAAAACTAGAAGTTCCAGCGCCAAGTAGTAATCCATAACATGGATTTGATTTTAGATTTCAATAATAGGCCGCTTACATTTACAATAATTTGTGCAACAATTTACGCGTAATATTCTAATTTAAATCTGCATAAATTCAATTCAATTAGCTGAAGTGTATTAAAGTAAAGTTACAAGAAATAAATACCTCTTGAAATTGAAATTTGTATTTCATTGGAATGCAGAATGTTGACAATGATATGAAATGGAAGAATAAGATAAATTTTCGGAGGGTTTGGAAGGCTTTTATACCTTTCTACATCAACTAACCAAGCATGTTCTAGTTCATTTCTTGTGACATGTAAAGTGATTTTTTAGTAGAATATATAACTAGTGGGAAGTTATTTGCCTTCGATGTAAAACTTTTATGCAATCTTAAGATCCCATCGGGTCCAACTGATTTGAATGATTTCTATACATTGTACTCTAAAAGAAATTGTACTGTAATCCTTTCTTTTCACTGCCACTTTGCGGAGTAACAATAACTTCATTGATAGTAATGATGCCTTATAATTTTTATACCCCCAGCCAGGGTATATATCATTTGTAGCGGCCAAAACGTGCCTCATCGAAAGAACGGTGCACGTACACGTGGTGAACGTGCCTCTGGTAGGAGTATCCAATTTGTTCCAAACTTGGTACATCGTAATATTGTTATCAAACTTAGATCAAGTTCGGAGATGGGCATTATCGGTCCACTCCTCCTTGTGCCTCGCACACAAAAGATCGAATTTTTCAAAACAAATATTTTACTGTACAGAAAGAAAAAGAATGATCCACAAAGGGTTAAAACTTTGAATAATTATAACTCCTATAACATGTGATGTAAGAGTCCGATTGCCTTCAAATTACACACATCACAATATTTTTACTAACCCAATACCTGGAGTTAAGTTGGAACATATCGGTACACTCCTTCTGGTACCTACCACACAAAGATTCCAAATTTTGAATATTCATTAAGCTCATAAGCCACAAAATTAACATTCGATTCCATCCAGACTTGACACATCTCAATATTTATATTAACTCAAGATCTTTTATAAAGATGGTAGAGATCGGACCATATCTTCTGGTAACTCCCCAACAAAGGGTCAATGTTTTGAATAATCTAAACGATTATAAAATCCGAAATAAGCATGCGGTTCAATTCAGACTTGGTAGATCTCAATACTTCCCTCAATACAAGACCTGTTATAAATATGTCAGAAATCGGACAATATCTTCTCACATAGGCTTCAAGATTTTGAAAAACAAAACGCTCACAGAAAGCGAAATAAGCATCCAACTCTCTTCAAATTTCAAACAGACAAACATTTTTGTTAACACAAGATCAGTTGTGAAGATGATGAATATCTGCGAACCCCCTCTGGTATCTCAACCATAAAGGGTCACAATTTTAACTACTTTTTTCTATCATAACTCAGCTATAATTTGATCGTGCGTGTATTCAGATGCTGTAATTATGCTCTAGGTAAAGAACGAACCCATTCTTTCCCCTCTTATTTATAAGTGATATAAGTTATTACAAGTTAATAAATATTTTAAATAATCAAATCAACTCACCTTCCTTTGCGGTCGATCACCTCCAAAATAACTTCATTGGCCAATTGATTGGGATAGGTGGCATTCCAGCGATTGTAGACCTTGTGACGATTCTTTTCGCTAACCTTGGGCATTTTATGCTGGCAAATGAAACGATGTTTGTCCACACAAGATCTTGATGACCATCTAAGGGGAAGAGGGAATAAACAAAAAAATTAATTTTAAGGAAGTATGTCGAGAATATTCAATGAACATTTGGTTTTGCAATAAATTAATATAAGGGTCTGTTTTTGCATGTCGAAGGTGAATGAAAAACACAAGTCCGAATGTGATTTTAAAATTTTGGATTGCAATTTCAAAAATAATCAAGAACATGAAAAAGTCATTTCAAATGGTGTTTTTCTATGGCATCCACTCTGATTCGTCATACATAAACAGGCACATTAAGGCTTTTTAATTTCATAAAAAATAAGGGCCAGGTTTTTTTTATAAAAAATAAAATCTTGTTAGTAATTTATGCTACGATCCATTGAAATTTCATTTTCTTGGTGTTCCACTGTTTATCTTTGTTGAATTTTAATACACCGCCTTATTATCATTTAAACAAAGTATTGCAATTTTTCCTAACCGACCCATTCATTGCATTTAACTTTCCATTTGAGTGGAAATCAAAAGTCCAATCAGCTTTTTACGCCTGTCAATTAAGATATCCACCTAGTTTTTTTGTGTGCTACACGAATTATTTGACATTAGCACGTTTCGATTCCAAGTTATTTACTGGCTGTGCTTTTTGTGAAACACAATACGGGACACACTCGCCCATTGCCAAGCAATGTTACAAAAACACACACACACACACACACACACGGAGAGTCCATGGAATTTATTGACTGCGTTTAAGAATAGTTTATAAATTATTTTGCGGCGTTGATTTGTAGGCCAGTCTTACCAAAAAATGGTTTACGTTAATGTATTTTTTTGCTCGGGATGGAATAAAAAATGCATGGAGAATTTGCTTAATGTGGAGATGGCAATGCATATATTTATTGTCTTGAAATGCAAAGGTTTCTTTTGTATAAAAGTCCGAAGTGAAATTTATTGACACAAAATTGCAATATTAATATTCAATTGGTGTTGTAACATAATGTTGTTTTATTATGTGAGAAGCTTTTGTGGGGAATGTTGTCATCAAAAATCTATTCAATTGGACACATACTACACTCAACTAAAAATGTTGACAAAAAAATTGTCATAAATTGTCAGACTTTTGAGTGAATACTTGGTAGACATGTATTATTGGCATTGTCTTAGATAATATTCATAATTATGAGGGTAGATCAATAAGTCTAAGATATTTTCATTCCCCTCGTAGACATATGTTACATAGCGCTGGTCCCATCAAGTACCACATCACATACACATCATGTTAGTGTTATATGCAAAGTGACTTTTTCACATTTTAGATTTGACATTTTTATAGCAAGGCGCATTAACTTCCAAAAATGATATACCAAGAAATATATACTATTAATTATAATATATTAATATATTAAAAAGTGTTTCTTTTTTAATGAATGAATTCTGGGGAGCGCCTAAAAGTATGCTATAAACATGTTAGAAATAAATGTGGAAAAAGAGGCTTTAAAGTTGTATAAACTAGCTTTTAATAAGTAGAGAAAATTTCGAAACCCCACGAAGTTAATGCTAGCCTACTGTATGGTTACATATATAATTCGAAAACATACTTATCCCCATGGTACAATGAAGAGAAGGTAGGTCAACTTTGAAAAAATTGCAAGTATAGAGGTCTACCTGTTTGGCTTGTAATGTCAGAATTAGTATCAAAACAATAAAAAATCAAACAACTTGTTGCATTTATTTTGAATAAATAATTGAAAAACGCGATACTGAATGAAAGGTCAACATTTCTTTTCAAAATCGTGTACTATATATCTCTTTAGGATTATTTCGCTACAAAAACTCTAGATTTTGTCGATGCATACGTTGAAATAAACATTTTGAAAACACCCGAATTTGAACAAATAAAGATGACATATTAAGCCAAGAAAATAAAAAAATTTAAATCATATGGTATCATAGCCCTACCTTGATATGATTGTACCATGCTTATCCCCAAGAAAATTTGCAGAAAATGACCGAACAGAATATTAACCCTAGATGTTTACATTTCAATACTTACCTGTATTTGTATTGAGGATCAAATACTGCACAATGATTTTCCAAACTGTGTCTGTAAATAAAATAAAAACAGGAATTAAAAATAAATAAAAAAATATGGATTACACATTATCAGAGTTCAGGCCTTCGTGGGCGCTTAGGTGATAAGTCGAAGTAGAGAATTCAATACAAAGTCACAGTCAACAATTGGGGGGAAAGCTGACGTTTTTTTAAATTTGCGGGTGAATTTGGAACCGAGAAGGTATCAGAGTGCCAATATTATTATGCCTTGGCGCCTTAACCATTAGTGAGTTTGATTGTCAAGCCCATTTCTTGGTGGAAATGCTGTAACATGGTTGCTATGGCTATTTGAAACTTTTTGCTACCAAGAGCAATAACTCAATACATTAGACTGGTAAGGAACGATGAGGTAATGTTATGATCTTCGAAAATTAATTAATCAGACATATTAAGCTAGGGGATGATACTTGATATCACTCTCTCCCTGACGATAAAGAGAATACCCGATAAAGAAAGACCCCAAACTAAGGACTTTTTTTCAAGAAAGCAGGTGAGGTCATAAGACTGTCGTGTCACGACGGATCCTAGACTTCAAATTTGGTATTTAAGAAGATTTGGTAGATGACAATCCTTGAATTATAAAATTGTCTATTGAAGTTCCCGTTTTGGTCTTTCAACGCTTAAGTTTTTCTTTTAAAAATTCCCCTAATATTGAATAGAAAAGCGGGACTTCCCACATCTTCAAGGGTCAGGGTCAACTAGATTCTATGTTAAGCTCTTCAGAGTGATGTGTCAAATACTTTACGATTCCACTTATGATCGGAAAATGTGACTAGAATTTTGTTTTAGGATTAAACTCGCGGCCTTCATTACTTCCAATATGGTGAATCAATATCTGAAGCCATTTAACTATTAGCAGTCTTAAAAAGTACTCATGGTCAGATTAATCCTGTCAAGGACTTTTCAGAAAAAATTGATTTTCGATCATTCAATTTTCAACTTACTCTATAGACTTATCATAAAAGTCATTGAATGTTAAATTGCGTCCACTAATGCTCCACTGCCACATTTTGTTGACCCAATCGTAGGTGGCGCCAATCCATATGGGATCCGTGTCTGGAAGAGAGAAATGATGTGCTCCATTATAAATATTCATATTAAATATTAAAAAAATTCGACCAAACTTACTTCCATCATTTTTCAACAGAAATTGTCGCAGCTTGCGATTTGCATATTTTTCCGGTTCAGCCAGGCGGGCATTTTTATCCTTACAAATGAAATGGGCCTCCAGCCAGCTACCCTGCTGCTGGGAGAGAGAAAAACATTCGGTGCCAATGCGTTGGAAATTTGGCGGACACATGGCGTACATGCGTCGTGTTCTGGGCTTATCCTGTTCACTTTGGGAGGCTGCCATGGCGCCGCCGGACATGTGGGGTGGGGAGATATTTTCAAAATTCACACCCACCGAGGCGGAGGATTGATGATATTGGCCACATGCTATGTGAAGAACTGCAATAAATCGATTTTTAAATTTTTATTGTTAAAAATTGAGTTTATTTTTTTTAAATTTCAAATCCACAACTCACCTAAAGCTAAAATTAATATTAAGAAGCGCATTTTGCTGCTGTGTTCTCGTCCTCACTTCCTCAAATTGAATAACAAATAAATTTTGAAATTTAAACAATTTCAATTTATGGTGCTGAGGGTTCTTGGAGTTCTTCCTTGGCGGTTTCCTAAATTTCGTTTGTTTAGTTAAAGTATTGTTGTTGTTGCTGGTTTCCTTAATTTAACAATAAAAATTTGATTGATATGTTGTGTCAAAATCAAACGGCCTCTGTTGCATATTCACTTCAAATCCAATTGAATTTCATGGAAACAACTGAAAGGAAAAAAATTGAAAAAAGGAGGAGAATAAATTATTTGAGTTTTAAATTATTTTTCCATTTAAAAAAAGTTCAGTAATTTATGAATGTTAAATGCTATTACTTGTGGTTGTCAGAGCAAGAGATTCGCATTTCTGCGAAACTAAGAATTATAGAGTTTGACTCTTGAAATCAATTAAAATCGTATTAGGAGAAAATTTCGGGCAGCACACAACAAAATTTTGTATTCATAGCAAAAATAAACATGAGATTTTGTGGTTAGAGTTGGGGATTATTCTGGGAATATTATTTTTTTTATTATTTTAAAAATGTTGAGTTTTTATGTTAAGAAATCAAAGAGTTGGAAACCTTGGAAAATTTAATGATTCTCATTTAATATTCGAATTCGAGTGAGCTCATTACTCGAATTCGCTCAAATTTAAATAAAACAGAGGGAAGATTTCAATACATTTTTTTACGTTCCAGTCCATAGGTAGACAAGGACTTCTACAGCTCATTTTAAGAACGATATGTACGAAAATATCATTAAATGGGTATTTAGTGAAAAATAAAATCCTGGAGTCTAAAGCGGGTTGTATACCCCTTTGAAACTTCTTTGAGAAAAAACGACTTCTAGACGATAAGACTACCTTATTCGGATGGCAAACTATCTAAAGATTTTCTCCAAACAAAAGACCTTTGCCTTTTTGGCAGGAGATCTTTTGAAGGCCTTTTGTAGATGATAGGTTTGTGGATCTTCTCAATGAAGATAAAACCATTTGATGGTCTCTTGATGGCAGAAGATCATTTGAAGGCCTTCTAACGCCATAAGGCCTTCATGAACTTTGAAAGGTCTCCTGTGGACAGTAGACCTTGTGAACGTCTCCTATAGAAAGAGCACATTGTTGAGGTTTTCATAAACAGGTGACCTTGTAGAACTCTCCAATAAACAGAACATCTGTGAAAGTCTCCATATAGGATATCTTGTGTAGGTCTCCAAGAGAGAGGAGACCCTGTGAAAGTCTCCTATAGAGAGGAGACCTTGTGAAGGTCTCCTAAAAAAAGGAGTTCTTGTAAAGGTCTCCTATAGATAGGATGCCTTGTAAAGGTCTCGTAAAGAGAGGAGGCCTCGTGAGTGGCGTCTGTAGAGCTCTTCTATAAACATAACATCTGTGAAAGTCTCCATGTATGTGAAGGTCTCCTATAGAGAGGAGGCCTCTAAAGACAGAAAAACCCTTTGATAGCCTCCTAACACCGGAAAACTTTTTAAAGGTTTTCTAAGCCAGAACACATTTGAAGGTCTTCAAAATAGAGACGAGACCTTGTAAATGTCTTGTAAAGGTCTCCTATGAGAGGAGATTTTCTGAAGATCTTCTAAAGAGAGGATGCCATGTGAAGGTCTCCTAAAGAGAGATCTTGTGAAGATTTCCTATAGAGATGTAAAGGTTTATAGGGAGGAGTCCTTGTAAAGGTCCACTTTGGACAGGGGTCTTGACATTTTTTTTTTAAAAGAGGGCTTCTTAAAGGTCTTCTAAGACTTTTCATAGGTCTTCTATAGGCGTTTTCCTCTTAAAGATATTATACAGATAGAAAACCTTAGAAAGATCTGCAATAGGAGAAGGTAGTCTGGCCTGAAAAAAATTGAATGTCTATTATAGGCCAAGGACTTTTTGAAGTTTCAGTAAAACCGAAGATCTCGTGAATTTTTTGGGAGTAAAAATCAGGAGCTTTTTCAAAGTCTTCCTTGGACCATTTGAAGATCTGCAGAGGATCTATTTGAGATCATCTTCATACAGGTTACATTAAAAGAGCTGTAGACTGAGGTCATCCGGGTATTTCTCTATAGACAGAAGATCTTTTCAAGGTCTCCTATTGGCCGAAAAAAATGAATGTCTTCTATAGGTCAAGGATTTTCTGTAGGTCTTCCAAAAACAGAAGATAACGGGAGACTTTCTTAGTTGCATCAATTCATTTCAGAGAACCTATTAAATAACGTCTGCATGCAGAATATAATAAAAGGTCCTGTGTATACATTTTGAAAGTCTTAGAAAAATAGAGGACGGTGGGAAGATTTTCTATGGGCAGAAGAACTCTTCTTTCTAACTACGGATAGACCTCTTTGCCCTTAATAAAAAAAAAATACTGAAAAAATCCTGAATTTATTTATTTTATCTATTCTTAAATCAACACTCATGAGACCTTTCAGCTGCTGAGTAAATTCAAAATTTGGGACAATTCCCCGAAGACACGTCGCCAGTCCCTGAATTCGCAATAAATCTTGACATATCTTATCTTGTTATGCGTTTTTTTTCTTAGAATTTTAAAAATTGTATTTCAAAACACCACACACATTTGTTTGGCTACGAATAAAACCGACTTGAATTTCAAAATAATTGATAACTGCCTTAAGCTTATTAAGAATTGGCCAAAAATGGAGCTCAATCACAACTCCGCATCTTATTAATGAGTTTTGTTATTTGATTTGACGTTTAAATTGAAATCTTGGCATTAGAATTAACACACGGCGTATGGACTGTCTGTCTGCCTGGACAGATGGACGGAAGGTCTGTCTGACGGTAGATTGTTTGATGGCTTAGTTTTTGGAAGCAAGGTCAACAAGCAGATCATCAGCATCATCATCATCGACATCATGAGAAGACCCATGTTGTGCTAGGGTACAGATTTTTTAAATACTGGTTATTTGTCTTCCTCTTCATGATTTCCGCTGCATTTGAAACGAATGGACGGCGAAGGCCTCCAAGCCAAGAGTCATTAGAAGCCCACAGCAGTGATTAATGAAGTTTTCTTTGCTTTTAACTGATGGTGTCTTTTTCCCTGCTTTTGTTTTGATACCGTCAAAATATCACCTCCTACTTTTTTTTAATTTGTTTTGTTATTTTTTTCGTTTTGTCTCCCTCTGTTATTTCTTCAAAATTATCTAAACTTTTGTTTTCATTACGTCTACGATGGTCATTGAACCACCGCCGACCGACCGACCAACCACCTTTTGTCTTTGATTTTTTTTCTTCGTTTGTTTGTTTATTACGATTTTGTATGGGTACTTTAGTTTGTTTTTGTTATTATTTTTTTTAAATAATATATATGAAGCAAAATACAAAATGTTTAATGAATTGTGAAAACGTGTTTCTTTTTTATTCTGACGTCATTATTTGTTTAGATAACAAACCAGCAATTATTAAATGCCGGGCAATTTAATGAATAATTTCAAGTCACGCCAAAGCAACACACGTCCGGCGAAGGCGTGTGAGCAAAAGTTAAACGTTTTGCAATAAAAATAAATTAACAAACAATAAATTCTTTATTAAATGAATTTATTGAGTGTCTGTTTTCTAATTTTCGTTGCAATATGTTTGAAATAAAATTGTGACAAGAAAAACAATTTTAATTAAAACTATTTAAAAAAATAGAATCAACTAAAAACTATTCAAATAATTTAAGACTATTTCAAATAATTGCATTAAGACCAGCTTAAGGCCACGTTTTCATAAATTATTTCACTATTTGAGCTTCTACTTTCCGAGACTCCATGTAGTTCTCTATTGTGAGCCCCTTGTGCGTTCTCGTACCAAGCTTGCCTAGCCATGTTGCCTTTGAATTTTCGCCAAGTATGCCTACCCCAGGATTTATTTGCATAGACGGCCAAAACCTGCTTAATAGAAATAATAATTTTAGACCCCAAGTCTCTTTGGACCAAATCCGATTCAGGACATTTTGAGTCGATCCAGAGATGTCCGTCTGTCTGTCTATCTTGCTGGCTGCTAAGCACGATAACTCTCGAATGAAGTATCTGATTTGATCCAAACTTGGTACATCGTAATATTATTATCAAACTTAGATCGAGTTCGGAGATGGGCAATATCGGTTCACTCCTTCTGGTACCTCCCCCACAAAAGGTCGAAATTTTCAAAAAAAAAAAAGATTTTACTTCACAGAGAGAGAGAGAGAGGGAGAGAGAGAGAGAGGAAGAGAGAGAGGGAGAGAGAGAGGGAGAGAGAGAGAAGCGATGATCCGATTTTGCTCCAACTTCGATAATCGTAATATTTGCCTCAGTTCTAAGTCAGATGAGAAAATGGACAATATCGGTCTTCTCCATCAAGTACCCCCCCACAAAGGGTCAAAATTTCGAATCATTACAACTCATATAAAATGTGATGTAAGTGTTCGATTGACTTCAAATTTCACACATCCCAATATTTTTGTAAACAAAAGATCTGGTGTGAAAATGGAATATACCTGTCCGCTCCTTCTAGTACTTCCCCCATAGAGGGTCAACATTTTGAATATGCATGAAGCTCATAAAACACGAAATTATCTACCGATTCCGCTCAGACTTGGTACATCTCAATATTTCCATCAACACAAGATCTGTTATAAAAACTGTAGAGATCAGACCATTTCTTTCGACACCCCCACAAAGGGTCAAAGTTTTGAATAACCAAAACGATCACAAATTACAAAATAAGCATCCGGTTCTCTTCAATTTTCACACATGCCTTTATTTTTACTAACACAAGATCTACTGTGAGAATGGGCGAACACTTTCTGGTACTTCCCCCCACAAAGGGTTCAAAATTTTGAATATCCATGTAGTTCATACAACGCGAAATTAAGATCCGATTCCATTCGGACTTGGCAAATCTCAATATTTTTATCAACACAAGAACTGTTATAAAGATGGTAGAGATAGGACCATTTGTTCTGGTGCCTCCCCCACAAAGTGTCGAAGTTCTGAATAAACAAAACGATTATAAAATCCGAATATACATCCGGTTCTCTTCATATTTCACACTTTCCATTATTTATACTAATACAAGATCTGCTGTGTAGGTGGGATATATCGGTCCACATCTTCTGGTACCCCCTTACAAATGGCCAACATTTTGAATATCCATGAAGCTCATAAAACGTGGTATTAACATCCGATTCCATTCAGACTTGGTGTATCTCAATATTGCCATCAACACAAGATCTGTTATAAAGATGATAGAGATCGAAC